CAGTCACTTGTTTTTTTCTAAATCTAGTTGAAAGCACTCTCATTGTCCTGCCAGAAGTACATCAGATTTTCTCTTGACTTCCTTTCCAAACAGCATCAGGATGGAAGCTGTAAATTCCTATACACAAACTGAAACGCAACGAAAGCTTTCCTGAGAGTACGCTGAAGTCAATGAGTTTACACAGAGAAACCAGTCACAGCAGGGTAAAAAGTAAGATATGCAACTTCGTAACTTCATAACTCCTTTAATACATGCTAGGTATATTTCCTTTTATAACTTGGAGGAGCTGCCATAAAAAGAAGCAATTTACACAATCACGAAAGAAATAAAACAAGAATGAATGATGACACAGGTAAATCATATATTTAATTTGAAATTTAGTACTGGAACTGCCTGTACATATCTGAACCATCTAAGGGTGTGGAAAAGATTCTGTAAGACACATCACCCTGTGAGAGTGACTTTTTTTTTTTTTTAAGTACAATTTTTATTGCTCCTCTCTGTCATATGCCTAAGTAAGTCCCAAGTAATCAACACCGCTCCTAAGAACAATTACAGCTACTAGAAATTCTTCTAAAAAGCATTGTCTCACACACACACACACACACTAAATATATATATAAAAAAATCTGTACTCTAGCGCTGGTCCTGCTGCAGAACTGAGCAATCATGAAATTCAACACCAGGGAAAAAGGAAAGTTCTTATGCGGCCAAAAGGTTCTTACTATTATCATTCTTTATATACACGTACAAACTTTTTAATATATACACAGTGCAACTGTTCTAACCTAGAAGTTAAACTTTTTAAAGAGGAAAAACACTCTTTTAAATAAAACAAGGGACTTGAAGAAGGCCTTATTTCAACAATTTTGTATTCCAGTCTAGAAGCACTGACATTACAGATTTAGACACACAGCCTTAGACACACAGCCACTTACATTCAGCCTCCTAAACCCAGATGTATATCGATAAAGCTAAATTAAAATCTTACAGGCACAAACGGAAGGCTAAGTTCTATCCTGATTCCTGATTTAGTCATTGATAAAAGAATTATATTTGTCAACATGTGGCACATCTGGAAGAGTTAGAGCCATGGACCGGATGGGGAGTAAATCAGGACAGAATTAGACCTCTTGAGCACACGGCTGTATGGCAGCCAGATGTGCTCTTTGTCAACAAACATAATCCCTTTCGAGTCATTGACTCCATCACCAGCAGAAGTGGCATTATTAGCCAATGCTGTGTATGCAGTTTCACTAATGTACTCCCTTGGTCTCAGGGATAAACATGTGCATAATCCTGCGCTGCACGACTCCCACACACTAAACAGGAGTCATGCAGATTGGTCAGACCACCCAAGCTGAAGGTCAAACAGTGCAACTTGTAAAATGTCCAGACTGCAAATCCCCTACCCGTACTGGTAAGCAGTCTCCTTACTTCCAGTTCACTGAGTCAGTAGGTAACTACTTGCCAGAGGATTCATGGCAGGGCTTCAGAATAGCAGAGATACCTTCATCTTAAGAAACGTGAAGGGAATAGTTGAGACAGTAGTGCTTGCCATAGGCTATATGACAGGAAAACGGAGCAAAATAGACAGAGAAGTCATAACTATAAATATCACAGTAATCTCACAGAACTGTCTCTGATGGATACCCCTGTCTCCAGGCTGCAGAAGATACTTGCAGAGCTTGTGTCACCTTCCATGTTCTGCGATTAGAGCAGCCATGATTCTTCTTTGGAAGACGATGACAGATCAGATGACCTTGCAAGCTCTTTTCTAGTACATGGCTTGATATATGCTGCTTCTAATTTTCAATGGCTACATAATGCATAGGAAAAGAGCACCGAAGTTCCTCTACTCAACATGAATGAAAAGTAGAAAGCTGAAATCATAAATGAAGTTCAGAGTCCTCTACTGATAACCAAGCCAATCAATCAGCATTACATTTAAGCTATTGATGCCATCAGGACTATTCCTGGAGAAGAGTACCACCTCAGCCTGTCTAAAGACGACAAAGTGTGACTCATGACCAAGTTATACAAGTATCACTTGCATTCCAAAACCAAAATATTACAATGCAAAAAACTAATGAAGAAGCATGAGTTTAAAGCTTCTTGACTGGCCCTGCTACTTCTGTGGATGCATAGACTGAGACTGCCTTGCTAACTGATAAAGAACAAATAAATAAATAAAATCATAAATAAGTGAATTAATGCTACCTGGAAATGACTTTTATGATACACTAACAAATATTTTTAAAGGTGTATTATGCTAACGTTAGTGACAAACATTGTGTGATGGACCAGCAAAACAAAACAAAACTTAGTGTGTTCAGCTGTCTGGCTTTGGAGATGGGAGATGTCTAAGTCTATGACATGACAATTACTCTTACACACATGAAGATGGCCTAGGTCCCACCAGAGATTACATAATGCCTTAGCTCATAAAAGGTCACCCCAGTATAACAGCCATCGGGTAAAGGTGAATTATTCTCAAGCAGGTGAATTACACTGATATTACACTGATATAAAGGAATTTAATGGAAGTGTTTAACTTCAACAATGCTCTCAACTGATAAAGAACAACAGAAGAGCAAGCCTTACTGTTATATGCCATTTGAGATTTCCTTATACATCAAACTTTTTAAGTTCAATTCTAAACAAAGAATTTTTACCATTTCTCTTGATGAGAGAAGTGTTCTTATCCTATGCGTGAAAGTGTGTCATATTCATTAAGAAATGCTACAAAACTTCCTAAAGCATGCCTTATAATGGAGCTACACACCTGACTCCTAAGTTGAGTCTATAACGCATTATTAATGTAATATAATGTATTATTTCTGCACACTTTTCAGAAACAGTTGAACAGTTTAACTGGTTTACAGACAGCTAATTAGGGAGACAAACACACTGGGGTCTGGCCTACTCTGGATACACAGAGTGTCTTCTACTTTTAAAGACATTTGTGGAGTTTCACAAGAACAGTGAAATATTACTGCCTGGTTTAGAACAAATTAGAAAGCTGCCAACCAACACAAGCAGCAATGATTTATGCTGCTTTCCCACTGCAAGTTATTATTTTAATAGCTGGTATGAATTTTTCAGGACTATCTTTAAATTCTATAGGTTAAATACAGGTGTTTCACATGCAGACAACAAAGATCTACCCTGCTTTACATCTTCACTGGCCTATTGAGCTTTAGAACATTTTTTATTAGACAAACGACAACATCACTCTGCCATACATAAAAGAAATGCAAAGGGATTATTAGTCAGGGAAATCTTTAGCAACCCGATACTTTCCTCGCTGCAGCTGTTTTCAGAATGGAAGTGATCATTACTCAGACTTGCCAGAATTCCTGAAGGGGCAGAAAGTCACTCACAGTTCAGCATTTTCTGCCTAGAGACTGCTGGAGTCATGATACACATGGAAAAATCAGCGTATTACAAAGGTTACATAGGAGAAGAATTCTCAGCTGGACAAATAGGTAATTTTCATGGCACTTCCTTCCATATTACATAAGTGTTCCTAAAGTAACAGAAATTTTATGTGTTTTTTTTTTTTTTTTTTTTTTTTTTTTTTTTTGTGCTGCCTGAACAGTGACTGTGTATTAACTTTAATATTGCATTTTATTGCAGAAAAATAAAATTAGTGCCTGTTGATAATGACAATAGCTATCTGGCAACAAAAAATCCCTTCCAGGGCTGTGTAAATGGAAATAAGGATCATGCAATAGATGGGTATGTCTTTCCCTACAGAATTAGATCAGATGATTGGTATGAGAAACAGCAGCACAGCAAGATAAAACGTATGCATAAAGAAATCACACTGGAGATCTGGAGTAACTTTTAACACCGTGCTCACTTTTGCTTCTTCCTACTACTTATCATGGAAAGGTGGAAAGGTTGGGAAATACTAGAAAAATATCAGCCCTATTTAGAATACTTCCTCCATGCACAACAGGAGCACTACTGGCCATCACGAAAGGCACATATGACCTTCAGCCTTTAGCCTCATTTAAAGCTGTCTAATTGATACTGAAAGATTTTTTTTGGCACGCTCTAGGACTGAGACTAGTACTTACTGTACTGTTTGAGTTATATTAGGGCTAGCAGCAGTCTTGTGTGAAAAAAACAAAACCCACAAAAACTTCACTGCACTAGGAATAACAGTGTTGTTGGCTTCATATGCTGCCTGCAATATCAGGTATTTAAAGAGAATCTTGAGTCTGAGAATTTTATACATAATTGGATTTCAAGCAACAAAATTAGAGAGAAAAAAAAAGTAACAGTTATTAGCCTCAGCTTATTTCTTCCTAATTTGCATCTAAACGCATCGAGCAACAGAGCTGTTTATTTTAAAAAAAGCCTGTGTTATTTCATTGAATAAGATTACTAAAAGAAAATTAAAACCCCCTTGGGTTAGATGAATTTGGCCTGAAGCTATCACAAACGAGCCTTACCCATGAACCCGTGATTCAGGGACACAACATTTGCGATCACTAGCGGTGAGCTCAGCTTCCTCCATCTACAGCTCCCAGAGGCCTGCTCCTTGAAGCCAGGCCTACACACAGGCAGGGCAAAGCTGAGGGAATTTGTTTGCCTTGTGCTTCTTACCAGAGTGCAGCTTTAATATCCAAATGTTTGCAAACTCCTGGCTAATAACAACGGACCTTGTATCTTCTCCATTCCCTGACAGCCACTGTGTTTTATTGGGGTTATCCAAGCAGGATTACCTGGAGTTTATCAGCACAAAGCCACCTACACAACATTAATAAACAAAAGCCACAGATATTACTAGCATCATCTTGTACTAATTGCAATTTTTCCAACTAAGGATTCGCATTTGCTTGCACTAAAAGCTGACTAACCTGCTGAAACAAGCCAATCCCACTATTCCAGCCTATGTTGCCCCACCTCTAACAGGACATGAGAAGATAACGCAATTCTCCCCTTCAAATAACTTTCTGAAAGCAACAAAAACACTCATTTTATGGATTAAGGGGAAAAGGAATGGCGTCAGCTGAGGGCGCTGCCTATTCCTCCCCTTCCCGCCACTTCTCCTCAGACAACCAGGCCGGGCCCCAACGCGACGCCAGGGGGCGCCATTTTGTCTTCCCTCCTCACCCCTTCCACAGCCCCTGAAGCACCGCGCCGCCATCTTCTTTTCCCTCCTCACGCCTCTCCTTAGCCCCATCCCGGCTCTGCCGCCTCATAACTAAGGTGGTGCCACCGGGAAGGACTCCTTGCTCGTGCCTGCCCCGAAGATGAGTTTGTGGTGACTTACTGTTAAATTATCTCACGGTAATCCTGGGTGCTGCAAGTTACGGTGCCCTCCTGCAGGGAGGGTCAGGCTTGATGCCATCGCTCAAGTGGCTTGTGAGGGAGACCAGGCTGTGGGAGCATCATGTGCTTGCGGCCTGAGGGCTTTCAGCGCCACAAATTGTACTATCATATTTTATCTTGTTTCTTCTGACAGAAAACTTTCTGGGCCATGCAGCGTGCTCGCAGCTGTGACAAGTGCCGCTGGCTGCTGACCTGTGTCAGCCTCGGAGCTCTCCTCCAGCTCTGATGAGGTACGTGGTGAGGGCTGGGGCCTGGGGACCAGCTTTACCTCAGAGATGGCGCCTACAGGTTCTTATTTTCCAGCCTCTTCACTGACTTTTTGCCCCCCCTTTAAAAGGACTTCCCTGTGATCTGTTGTGTAAGAAGGATTTCAACCTGAGGTAAATGAGAATGGATGTTTAAAATGCCCATGGAAAAATTCACCTTTGCCAGGAGCGTGGTATGTTAAATACATAAATAAAAATATATTGATAAATAAATCCCAAATGCAGCAGTTTCTTTGCCACGCAGTATGAGTTACTGGAGCTGTATTTTGCAGCATGTTGTTACATTCCTCTTAAGACCCTCTTTACCTTTATTTCTGTGCCAATCTGACAGGTCTTCTGTGCTTTATTAAGCTTTCCTGGTTGGAATTGATTTTTTTTTTCTTTAAAAATCTTTTCCCTGATCAAGGATTTTTCTGCATTAATGAAGCAGTAAGTTCTTGTGTCTATAAATGGAACAGTGTGTGCGACACAGCAAGTGAATGGGGAGCAATAGAGAAACATCTAAGAAAAATACCTCTTCTACTAGCAAAAGCATGGAAGTGAGAAATGTTTTGAAAAATCATCTGGGTATGGGCAGTACCTCACTAGACATAGGTTACTGTAATACTTGTTCTATGACTTTTGTGTTGTAATTCAACACACAGTGAAGCAGTATAGCTTTCTTGCAATTATTAAGTTAGAACAATGTGATACTTAAAAGCATTTTTAATTTTCTATGACTTTTTAATCCTGCTTATTTTTTTTTCTGTTGGCAGCCCTATAAATGTTACTAGCAGTGTGGTGTTGCTGATCGTGTTAATTGCTCTATAGAACTTCTGTTAATGTAGTGAGCTTAGTTTTGCTGTTACACAGATATACATTCCCCTTTTCTGGCTTCCCACCAACACATGGTGAAAGCTTGCTGAATAAGAATATTTGGCTGCCCAAGTTTAACTTACTGGCAGTATTGTAAAGATATAATTCATGCTGGTATGGTGAGACATTTGACTTTAATCCTTCAAAGAGACATTAAAAAAAAACCCAAACCCCCAAAAATAAACAAACCCCTTGTGCTAGATAGTTACAGTCGGAAAATCCTGAAGCCATCCCGGAGGATCCCTAGTTCAGAGAGATGGCAGTACAGGACAATTAGATACGAATTTGGTGGTTAGATGAAAGGAAGTGAGAACTCCTAAACCCTCATGGGAGCAATACTAGCTGATCTACCATGAAATGCAAGTGATTAAAATGAGCAAAATGTAAGTTTGTATTAATTTTGCCTTCCTCGTTCTTTTTTTCTGGAGGCAAAAAGATAACATTGTGCACTTGAGTAATTTATTTATTTAGTTTTTAAATTGAAGATTTATATATGGTTCTAACTAGTCTATAGTAGTGAGCTTACTCACAAGGTGCCATTAGATTTTTTTCCTTAAGGCATTTATTTGTGAAAGCAATTATCATTTATGGCAAAAAAATGTGTCTGGGAGAGTGAGTGTATTTGCTGGTAAAGCAAACATATGGAATGCCTGGGAAGGTGGCAGTCTGAGCAGGAGGTCATCTCCTAACTTAATAAAACTTTCCAAGGGTCTGGTTCAGGTAAGGAGGACACCATGGTCAGAATGGTGGTTTTCCCAGAGTGAAGCTAATGCGTTATGTTTTTAAATATGCTTATCCTGGGGGAAAAAACAAACAAACCAACAAAAAAAATACAACAACAGCAAAAAACAGCTACATCACTTGCGTGTTAATAGGGGAGAATGATATTCAGAACTAACAGTGTGCTGCCCAGGCAGTAATGCCTGTTGCCTAAAGCTGGGGTGGATTTTGCATAATGTGGTAGCTTTTGCAATGCTGCAGCCAGGTGAAAGCCTTCTGATCACCATACACTTGAAAGAAGTCAGCTTCTAATTTTTCTACTGAATGAAGTGTTGGAAACTTTAAGTACTCATTCTGATGCACAATGGAAACAAATATGAGACTTAAGTGCAAACATTCTATGGGAACACCATAACAAGAGGACTGCTGTTTTTCAAACAGCAGAGTTCTTGGTAATTGTTTCTCTTTAGAGACTTGTTAGTAAAGCACAAGCACCTTTGTAGGCCTGTCCACAGCTGTGGGAGATGTGGCACAGCTGTGTTGCACTGTTACTAAGGCTAGGATGCTGTACCACTGTAGGTCTCTCTGTGCAGCCCAGTGTGCCAAAGTTAACATAAATGTTTAGCCTAAAAGTTGTAATCTCATTGTTCTCAAGTTTTTCCTCGTTCTTCCTCTCACTCCTCCATCCTTCTGTGTCCTGCTAAGGATACGTGTTTCTGTCTGAAGGAATCCTGCTGGTTTTGGCTCTTCACAGAGATAAGCCTAGCAAACTTGGGCAGGCAGTTGTCTGCAGTGTGGTACCTGCAAGTTGGGCTCTCTCTAGCTGAGGAAACTTGTGACCTGTGTCCTGTTTCCTCTTTAGCTGAGAGGCTCAGCTAAAGCTTTCTTGGTGGAAACTGCGTGTTTGAGCAAGCCTGTGAATGATCTGCTTGCGCGGTAGGAAGCATCAGCTGAGGCATTGGATGAAGGACAGAGAAAGTGCTGATTGGTGCCGAGAGCCTATCTAGTTTCCTTGACTCCTGGGATGTTAGTTGGGTAGAATGGGGTCAAAATAGATTGTTAAGTTTATATTTTAAAACCAGCAGAAATGTCCAGGAAGGTAGACATTGAGGCAACAATACGATGGATGGAGAGCAGCATGATTCATTTGTTGCACAAATTAGTGCGTAAAGTAATTACAGTTATATGACTCTACAGGCTCAGTGTAGCTGCTGGGAAGTGCCCACTGATTTTAAACTGGTTTTGGGTGATGCTTCTACAGAGCAGAACTGAGACTACTTCTGATGAAGTCAGGCATTTTTTAAAGTAATAAGCATGCACAAAATCTTTTCCTTGGGGGTTCTCCAGGAGGCAGTAGGAATACAGATGGAACCTTAAAAGCAAGGGTATGGGAAGGCCAGATCAAGTAATGTGGGAGAATTGTATATGAGATCTTGAATACATATGTAATTATTGAAACGATTGTATACTTGCAAGAATGGGGGTAATGTTTGTAAATTTGTGTTTGTATGGTAGCTAGCACATTGGTCTGTATGCAAAACCTTATATATGATTAATGACAAATAGTAAACTTGCTAGAATAAAATAGCATCCTTCAGGGTGTGAATGACCAAGGCATCTTTGAAGATGTGTAGGATTTTTATCATTTCCCTCCCTAGTGACTGGGAGCAATGGAAATACTTTCGTGAACGTGCTGGTTATAAGAAATCTTCTCTTTCTATCCCTGGGTGACTAAGTAGTTCTTCTAGGTAAGACTTTTCTTAATGCCATCGTAATTGTAGCATGGCTTATCCTGCTGCTTTGCTGCTGCTGCTTTTCTGCATTCTCTTCCTGCTCTAATTTTATGTGATAATGTTTACTGGGATTTGGGTGGCCAATTGTTTGGAAATGGATGACTCAGAATGGTGTAACTGTCACCAGCTACGTTAATATTTACAGAGCAATTAGCAGAATATTATGGTGTCCCGTCCCTCCTCTGTTCCCCCACCCCGTGTAAACACGGAAGCAACGTGACAGCTGTTATTTATGTGTAGTCAAGCAAGATGGTTTATAGCTCTGTGGCATCCAGTGCAGAATCCCAGAACTTGATTACGGGAGACTCAAGAATTCAAGGTGACTACCTGCTGTACTGAGCAGAGGTTTACGGAGGTGAATTTAAGAGGCAGAGCAACACATACCTTTTAAATAATGCTTCTTCCCAGGTAGGTCTTAGATCCTAAGCTACAGATGCAATAATTTCTTCCTTGTTCTACAGGTGGAGAAACTAAGGTACAGGACAGTGATAAGTCCTGTCTGTCACCGTGGAGGATGGACAGGGAGTGCTGATAAAATAACTTGGATTTCTCGAGACTTAAATCTAGTTCCCATGACTTCTCTAATGACATGGGAATATCACAGTAGACAGTAGTTTTCAGGCTCTTGCAATCTCCCCTCCGTATTTCAAGGGGGAGTTGGGTGAAATTTCAGATGGGTCTACGCACAGGTTGCTATACAGCATGCACAAACCCGGTTTTCTTCGATTCCTTTTGTGAATCTGTCACAAATAGTTCATGATCTCCTTCCCTGCCCCCCAGAGAAGTGTGAACCACAGGATGAAAATTGCTGGTGTAGGAGTGTTGTTAGCCAAGGCTGTAAGGCCTGAAGTGTGAAGGAAAGTGTGTTTGAAGGCAGGTTTGAACTTGCTAGATTAACCTGCTGCTTCGCTCTTCAGATAGTTGCACCTGCTACTTTGCTCTTCACATAGCTGCAGCTGGAGAAAAATCTCAAGTGAAATTGTTGTGGAATGCGTTTGACTTCAGGTCAGAAAAGGAAGTTTTGTTAACTTTTGTTTGTGGATGCCACTGTGTGGTTCCTGAAGGACCGCAATGTGGTCCAGGTTAGGGCAGTGGTGGAGCAGCTCTTTTATGTGGAGCAGCTGTGCTGACTTGAGGAGCCTCTGCCTTGTTGCAGGAGTCAAAACTGGGAGGAACTTAAATGGTGACAGGCAGGTACTGCCCTTAGTGTCTTGGTATGTCAGTAGGGCCCTTCAGCTTATATTTAGGGACAGCTCGGGCAGGCTTGGCTGGTTCAGGGACCATCACCCCAGTGGAAGTGCTGGCAGCTGCCTGACAAGTACCATTGGTGTGGGGTTTAAAAGAAAACAGCCGGTGGAGCAGTAGGATTGGAAATGGTATTCTAAACCTATGCTTGGAGATGTGGGGTTGGGGAATGGGAAAAGGAGTGGACAATGCTGCCTCAACTTCATTGACTTTTTTTTGTATGGAAGACTTTTATTTCTTTATGATGTTTTGTATTTCCTCGCAGGGACAAAGCCGGCATCTGAGTGGGACTGCTCTGCCTTGGCTACTTGTAGCCCTGGGGTTGCCAGGCAGTGCTGCAGTGTGTAGTGT